AAATATGACCACCCTTCAAATATTCAATGTGAAATATCTCTAAATCATATGATGATTATCTATTCTATTCGTCAAGATAAGTATTGGATATGTAAATTTAATTGTCATCTTTCTAGAAAGAAATTTTCAGCCTCATGCTTGCTAACTATGGTCTACCCATAACCACCGGCAGAGAACCAAAGAAAGTTTCAGGAGAATAGAAAAAAAAATTAGACACATAAATTTCATAAAACTAGAAAAACCTATTGAACTTTCAAAAAAACCAAAAAAGAATAAGAGTATATTAATAGGAAAGGTATTTTCAAATTATTTTTTCACATTTTGAAAAAGTCGTGTTTTAAACTTCTACCTGAAAAGATTGTTTATTTTTACTGATATATTGAAAAAGACGCAGATTAAATCATTTTTAAAAAAAGCGCTGCTTTTTTGAGAAAGTCGTGATTAAATCGGTGACTTGCTAACTATGGCCATGATCATAATTAGCAAGTTGGGGATTATCAATAAATCAGCTCACCATGAAATCAAGAACCAATCATTTTTATTTTGAAAACTCGGATAGAAAAATAGGTAAAAAATTTGGATCGGCAAAAATAATTCATGCAACGAGATCGCGAATACATCGGACTAAGCTCAAAAAATCGGAGTAAAAAAATCGGATATATTTAAAATATTAGAATTTTTAAAACTCTAAATATATCACTCAGTATAGAAAAAATTAATAGTAGTGAGGAGTAATGCTTTCGCTCTATATATATCACTCAGTATAAATATGACTGCCGATAATTATCTATTCTATTCGTCAAGATAAGTATTGGGTAGGTGGATTCAATTTTCATCTTTCTAGAAAGAAATTGTCAACCCCATACTTGCTAACTATGGTCTACCCATAACCACCCGCAAAGAACCAGAGAAAGTTCGTGGAAAATATAAATAAAAAAAAAAAGAAATTTCATAAAACTGGAAAAACATATTGAACTTTCCAAAAAAAAAAAATCAGAGTATATTAATAGAAAAGGTTTTTTTAAACAATTTTTCAAATTTTGAAAAAGTCGGGTTTTAAACTTCTTCTTGAAAAGATGGTGTATTTTTACCGATCTATTGAAAAAGTCTCATATTAAATCGTTTTTTAAAAAAGCGCCTCTTTTTTGAGAACTCGCGATTAAATCGGCGACTTGCTAACTATGGTCATAATCATGGTTAGCAAGTCGGGGATTATCAATAAATCAGCTCACCATGAAATCGGAAACTAATCGTTTTTATTTTAAAAAGTCGGATAAAAAAATCAGATAAAAAAAGTGGATCGAAAAAATACTTCGTGTACTTCGTGTAACGAGATCACGAATATATCGGATGAGGCTCAAAAACTTGGAGTAAAAAAATCACATATATTTAAAATATTAGAAATTTTAAAACTCTAAATATATCTCTTACTATAGAAAAATTTAATTGTAGTGAGGAGTAATGCTTTCACTCTATATATATCACTCAGTATAAATATGAACTCCCTATAAATATAAATTTCAAATATTCAATGCGATATATCTCTAAATCATAAGATGATTATCTATTCTAATTCGTCAAGATAAGTATTGGGTTGGTGAATTCAATTTTCATCTTTCTAGAAAGAAATTGTCAACCCCATACTTGCTAACTATGGTCTACCCATAATCACCCTTAGAGAACCAGAGAAAGTTTTGGGAGAATAGAAATACAAATAGGAATAGAAGTTTCATAAGACTGGAAAAAGATATTGAGCTTTCCAAAAAAAAATTTCAGAAAATTTTAATAGAAAAGTTTTTTTGAAACGATTTTTTCAAATTTTGAAAAAGTCGCGTTTTAAACTATTTTCTGAAAAGATCGTTTATTTGTACCGACCTATTGAAAAAGTAACAGATTAAATCATTTTTAAAAAAGCGCCGCTGTTTTGAAAAAGTCGCGATTAAATTGGCGATTTGCTAATTATGGTCATGATCATAGTTTGACAAGGGATTATCAATAATTTAGCTCACCATGAAATCGGAAACCAATCGTTTCTATTTTAAAAAGTCTGACAGAAAAATAGAGAAAAATATGAATCAGCAAAATACTTCATGTAAAGAGATCGCGAATATATCGGACTAGGCTAAAAAATCGGAGTAAAAAATTGGATATATTTAAAATATTAGAAATTTTAAAACTCTAAATATATCACTGTATAGAAAAAATTAATAGTAGTGAGGAATAATGCTTTCGCTCTATATATATCACCCAGTACAAAATATGACCTCCCTATAAATATAAATTTCAAATATTCAATGTGATATATCTCCAAATCATAAGATGATTATCCATTCTATTCTTCAAGATAAGTATTGTGTAGGTGAATTCAATTTTCATCTTTCTATATAGAAATTGTCAAACCCATCCATGCTAACTATGGTCTACCCTTAACCACCCGCAGAGAACCAGAGAAAGTTTCGAGATAATAGAAATTGAAATTTCATTAAACTGAAAAAAGATATTGAACTTTCAAAAAAAAAAATCAGAGTATATTAATAGGCAAGTTTTTTTGAACTGATTTTTTCAAATTTTGAGAGAATCGGGATTTAAACTTCTTCCTGAAAAGATGGTGTATTTTTACCGATTTAATGAAAACGACGTAGATTAAATCATTTTTAAGAGAAGCGTTATTTTTTTGAGAAAGTCGCGATTTAATCGGCGATTTGCTAACTATGGTCATGATCATAGTTAACATGTCAGGGATTATCAATAAATCAGCTCACCATGAATCGGAAACCAATCGTTTTTATTTTTAAAAGTTGGATAAAAAAATCAGGTTAAAAATATGGATCGGCAAAAATACTTCATGTAAAGAGATCGTGAATATATCGGACTAGGCTCAAAAAATCGGAGCAAAAATATCAGATATAATTAAAATATTAGAAAATTTAAAACTTTAAATATATCACTCCGTATAGAAAAAATTAATAGTAGTTAGGAGTAATGCTTTCACTCTATATATATCACTCAGTATAAATATGACCTCCCTATAAATATAAATTTCAAATATTCAATGTGATATATCTCTAAATCATAAGACGAATATCTATTCTATTCATCAAGATAAGGACTGGGGTAGGTGAATTCAATTTTCGTCTTTCTAGAAAAAAATTGTCAGCCCCCTACTTGCTAACTATGGTCTATCCATAACCACATGCAGAAAACCAGAGAAAGTTTTGGGAGAGTAAGAAATAAAAATAGAAATAAAAATAGAAATAGAAATTTCATAAAAACTGGAAAATCTTGGGATACTATTTGGGCAATCTCGGGATACTATTTTATAGGTTAGTTGTTAGGGTCTATACATCACATCCCCAAACATTTGGGCTGCTTGTATAGAGCCAAGGCTCTAAACAATAAAATTAGAGCTCATATTCAAATAGTGTCGAGAAATGTTGTTTCAATGCTGGAAATCTTTGACTAGCCTTAAAATATATTTTCATCGTTAATTATGAAATTTAAGGCTTGAAAAATAGTGTAGATCGAGCAGATATATGAAAACTTGAATTACTTAAATATTGACATTCCAAAAATGTGTTACAAGATGCACTACTTCCAAAACTTGAAATCCATTTTTTTTTTCTGAAGTCGGTACATCTTGATAACGAGATGATTAACTTGAAGATATTTTGACATCAAAACAACTTCTTCTAATAAAAATTTTGAGGTAGGCTCTAATTTGATTGTTTAGAACCTAGGCTTATACATAAACCTTTCCCAAATGATATCCTTAAGTTTTGCCTAAAGTAGTAGATAGATAGATAATAAATCTGGTAAAATAAACGTTACCAACCACTTCTTTTCAAATTCTTGGGCAGGAGGAATGTCTTTTCTTCCCATTATAAGCGAAAATAAAACTAAAAAGAATTTCTACTCCTGCAGGAGTATACCATCCATTTACTCACGCAAAGTTTCTATAAAAAGGGGCAAAGTAGTATTGCTTACTCGCATAAAAATGGCGTCCAAAGAGCAAAGAGTGAGGTTGTTGGGAACTCTTGGTAGCACATTTGCTTACAGGGTACAACTCGCCCTCACCCTAAAGGGAATTGAGTATGAATATGTAAAAGAAGACCTCAAAAACAAGAGTCCTCTTCTCTTGGAAGCCAACCCTGTGAAAAAGAAGGTCCCCGTGCTCATTCATGGTGAAAAACCCATTTGTGAATCGGTGGTGATATTAGAATATATAGAGGAAATCTGGCCGGAAAACCCCATTTTGCCCAAAGATCCCTATGAGAGGGCTCGAGCTCGATTCTGGGCAAAATTCATCGATGAGAAGGTAATATTCGTAATTTATTGTTGCGCGATATATTGAAGGTCTAAAGACTCCTACATCTAGATATACAAGTCTTTAGATTGAATTTGTGGATTAGATGAGTACCAAGTATTTTCTCTTAATGACTAGGCCTCAACCTCAATGACTAGGCCTCAACCATGAGGTCGATGACACCTATTGCCAATAAAAATGAAAAAGTGAAACAAAGAAAGATCAAAGATGGATATTAGGTTTTATGAAGGGCTGTTTTTATTCTATAACATATTTATTTTTGGGCTATGCATGCTTGTAACACCTTCAAAGACATCTTAAATTGCAATTCCATCTTTTTTATCATTTTATTTTTTCAAAATCTACTTTCGAAAATTTTTTATTTATGTAGATCTTGACTATTTTATAAAGCATTACAAGAGTGAATGTTTTATAATATGCAATTTATGCTCTATTTTTTACGATTCATTGTAATTCTTTGTAGATCATTGATCTGCACTATTATTTGAGCATGGACTGAAAGCTGCAATGCATCCAAAACAAGTTTGGACTTTTCCATGTCCTAAATCCATCTGCAGATGGAATTTTTCCCTCTCATAAGTACCTCTGTTTTTTTTTTTTGAGATTTTGGACAAGCGAATTAATTTCCATGAATAACATTGTCATCCTGGAAACCAGGGGAAAAGTATTTAGTCGCCCCATATTTCCACCTTGTACACTTTTTCGGTGGGCCAACGACCATTTTAGGCCCTTCGAATGACCATAAAATTCTTCAATCCTTTTGATTAATAGAAAAAGTATATAAAAGGGTGCAACTGGGTGCAACTTTTCTTCTAGAAATGAAGTTGTAGTAATATATGCTTTTTAGGTTTTGAGTGACTTATGTATAGAATTTAAAATGATTTTAAAAATATGAACTGCTCCAGGCGTAAATTACAAAAAGGGTTGGTCAACCCATTTTTTTTTTTATCTTTTCAAAATTGCCTTTAGGTCTGAGTATGGAATCCACGGTGCAAATTTTAACTTTTTGTTTTTTAGTTAGTAGCGCAATGCCCCAAGCTTTAAGATAGTGCGATACTAATGTAAAAACTAAACAAAAAATAAAAAATTAAAACTCAATCTTAGCATGTCCTCTTACTGACGTGCAATTTTAACAAAAATAAAAAATTGGGCAGACTGATCTTGTTTGAAATTTTCACCTATAAATTAAACATTTAGTATTTTAGAAAATATTTTAGGATCCGTACGTAAATCACTCTTTTATTTTCATTGAATGTATAGATTTGACACTATCTTAAAAGGTGTGACACTTGTTGAACGCTAAACCAATCCACCCTCCCAAATTAACTTGGAGATCCATTTGATAAACCGCGTCTTGTTCTTTTCTGCAAACAGATTGTGTCTGCTTGTTGGACTGCCTACAGCACGCAAGGGGTACAACAGGCGAAGGCCCTTGAAGAAGCTCAAGTTGCCCTGAAAGCCCTAGAAGGAGGGATCGAGGGGAAGTTTTTCAGTGGAGAAAATATTGGATTTTTAGATATAGTTGCAAATTTTATAGGCTGGTGGATGGGAGCTCTAGGGGAAGCTGCAAATATAAAGTATTATGATGCTGAGAAGACCCCACTTATTCATTCTTGGATTCAAGAGTTCAGAAACGTTGAGGTTGTGAAAGAGAGCCTTCCTTCTCGTGATTGGCTTGTTGCCTTCTTCAAAGGTCACCGTGAGGCCTTACTTGCCACCGCAATTTCCTCCTAAACTCCTAGTCAATGAATTGTGCACTTTTGAATTGCTTTTTTTATATGCACAATTATTACTCAGGGAATACCAATGAATAAACTGGAGCTTGACTTCCAAATCTATTTCTCGAACCCTTATCTATCTCAATTTTCTGCACTCTCTTTTTCTCTCTCTGTGTCTCTCAACAGCAAATCTTACTGCTTTCTCTCACTCAGTGGTACCAATCTCTCTCTCTCTTCTTCCTCTATATATCTCTTTGCACATGAACAATTATAATAACTTCTTTCTCTATACAAAACAAATTTCAGTCATCCCTCTCCCTCCCACTGTTCGTAGAAATCCAAAGTCATGAGTATAACTAGTATCCTAAATTTCACTAATCCAAATCGAGAATCGATGGAGACCGATCGGTTTTTGGGTAGGGAATTGATCTGATTTTGACGGATCCACACCCAATTCCGTCATAAAATTGGGTGAGTTGTTGGAGAACCAGGTCATCCGAATTACCTGAGTGACACCAGTTCTCACCTATTTTATATTTTTATTATATTTGTTTTTCAAAATTTAAAATCTTATTTAGTGTTTTTGGGGAATGATTCTTATAATAGAGGATTGGATAGATTCTCACATCTAGATAACCAATTCATTGATCCTGACTAGATCTTCAAAAGGCCGGTTCACCCCAATAACTCTAATCACGCGGTTATGACCGGTTGTTTATTTTTATTCTTTTTTATTCTATTATTTTCAAAACTACTTTTTTTTTTTTAGCTTTTATTGGGACCCTATTATGACACCAAAGAATTAGTTTGATTCTTCAATTTGGATAACCGGTTTGCCAATCCAAAGTAGATTTGTGGAATGCTGATTTGCCTGGGCGATCTAGTATTTGAAACACTAATTATAATGACAATGGACCCAATTGTAAAAGTAATAATTACCAAAGTCTTTGGATTTGACAATGAGAGAATAAATGAGTAAATAAATAAATAATAAAAAAATCACTTAAGGCGTGTTTGATAATAGGAAGTTAGGAGAGGAAGAACGAACTTCCCCATTATTGTACAAGTTCCGAGCTTGATACATGGAACTAATAAAGTGAAGAAGTTCTACCTAGAACTTCTTTATTCCCCTGTGCATAACAAAAAAAGTTCCATCTAAAATGATGGAACTTAAGATAGGAACTTGGTTCCTCAAACCCTAATTTGCCTATATTCTTATTTTTATTTTTATATTGTTACTTTAAATTTGTATATGTATTTGTATTGTATTATATTATATTATATTATGTAATAAAAATAAATATTAATAAAATAATTCATTATATAATATATTATATATAATACATATATATATTGATATTATATATAGTATATATAGTATATTGATGTATATAATATATTTTATTATATATTATATATTATATATTATATGTTATATAATAAAATAAATATAAAATACACTATGTTATATATTATATTACGGTATAAATATTATATATAATATATAATTATATATATTATACATTTATGCAGTACAATATATTATCTTATATATTATATATTATATATTATATCTTATATATTATATAATAAAATAAATATAAAATACACCATATTAATATTATATTATGTATAATATATATTTATATATTATATATTCATGTAATTTAAGATATTTTATTATATATATTAAAAAATAAACATAAAAATACACTATATTATATATTATAATATGTTCTAAATATCATATTTAAATTATTACCACATATTTAATTTATATTATTATAATATATATATATATATATGTTTAATATAATATAATATATTACATAATATAAAATGTACTATATTTTGTTGTATAATATATTTGATGTATGTAATAGATATTTCCAATACACTATATATTATATATTGTCTTATATCTAATATAAAAATAATATTTAATATATAATACTTTAATTATATTTAAATAAACATGATGTTATATTTCAACATGTTGTCAAACACATGTACCTAGAACTTCTTTAATATTCCATCAAGTTATCAAACATATACACTCAGAACTTCCTTGAATAACTTCTTTCTTCCCAATAACGAACTACTTCCCATTTCCAGGGGACATTTACCTTCCAGTTATCATTTACGCCCTTAAAGCAAGAGATCACTCAACTCAAACATTATGAGTCGACTCAAGAAAATGCAAATTAATCAACATGATTATAACAGTTATGGTCTAAGTTTAAATATTCAGTTCGGGCTCATGACTTTGCCCTTGCTTGAGGCAAGTAGCTCAAGAGAGTCCACGTTGACTTGTATGAGTACCAAGCATGAAAATGCGTTGAAAATATACAAAATAAAAAATAAAATTTTTCAAAAAATTCTCAAAAAATGGAAAGGGAGACATGGAGAGAGAGAGAGATTTTTTTTTTTTCCAGCGGGGAAGGGAGAGAGATTAACTATTAGGTAGTGAGATAGAGAGAAATGAAACAAGAGGATTTCCAATGTGTATTAATAGAAACTTGTATGTCTTTCTTGCGTAATATCTTCCTTCTTTTTCTTTGTAACCAAATTAAGATGGTACATTCATACATACATGGTTTGTAACCATATAAGTTGGGGCCTATACACAATTCTATATGTAGAAAAATATTGACAAATACAGCTTGCTCACGTGCCATCAAAGCATGGTTTTGATGTACTAGTTTGATCTTGCTAGGTTAGACAAAGCAATGTTTCCTTTGGGAGAAGGAGTTTTCTGATCTAGGGTTTGTTTGTTTTCCAACCATCTTGTAAGAATCCTGCTGGCTGCTGCAAACAATTTTTCCAACGCTATATTTTCCAGTGACCTTGTTTTTCTTGCAAAATCAGAAGTTAAGTTATAGCTTTGTCTTAATCTATCGATTTCATGCCTTGAAACCCCATCCTCAGGCTTCCTCCATTGTATTCAAGACCACTCTATTCACCTCTACCATCTCTATGTCATCCCAATACCACCGAAAAATATATGTACAGTATACACGGGACAAACTCACATCGCCTATAAGGCGAGTCCGAGTAGACCAGGCCGAGTCTCAAAATGTTGATGGGTAGCATTGTTGAACTGTAGATCGCTACTCGGCCAAGTCCAAGTAGACTTGGTCGAGTTTGGGTAGCATTGTTAGACTGTAGATCGCAAAGAGCTAAAGCTTTTCAGAACGATAAGCTTTTTGTTTCTCATTGTTTTTCAAGGCCATGAAACCTAATTTATAAAGAGATGAGAAGAGGTCATTCTTCAACGTTCGGCTTTCTTTTTTGGAGTCTTTGAGAAGTGGCCCTAAATATCTAAGAGATAGGGGACTCATCCATTATCTATTGGAAAATAGGTTTTCTCTCTTTAAAAAAAGTGAAAGATAAATAATAATTATTATAATTGTTTCAAAAAATTTTAATGAAAATAAATAAATAAAGAAATAAATAATAAAATAAATAAATAATAAATAAAGCCCTATAGACACGCGTACCAACAAAAACTACAGGTGAGAGCATGTTTAAGTTTGGCTAAACCCATTGTAAAGCCTGTGCCTCCACATTTTTTAACTTCTTTCCTCCACATAAAACAAGCGACCAATCTCCATAAGTAGATAAAATCCAATATTCTTAAGCAGCAATAAAAAAGTAAAGAATAATCTCCATAGCCAGATATATATCTAAAGAAAATGAGCAATCTCCACAGCTCGATATAAAAAGGTAAAAATAAAAAAAATCCAATCTCCTTAACTAGATAAAACAAACAACAACAATCACCAGAACTAGAAGACACCTTAGGGCCGGCGACTTTTGATTGTAGCAAGAAGCTCATCACGGGGTGGAAGAACCTCCTTCACCACTTCAGCCTTTGTAAATTCTTCAGCCCACGAACTTAGAGCAGGCAACATTTCAGGGTCATAAAACTTTAAACCTGCTGCCTCCCGTAACACAGACAGCCGAAAGGCAATTAAACATGCAACAACGTCGAAAAACCCAATTTTTTCGCCATTAAAGAACTTCCCTTTAAGTTCTTCTTCTAGGATTTTAAGGCCCTCTTGTACGTCTTTGATAGCCTTCTCTTGTTCTCCCCCCTGTGTACGATGGGCCGTCCTTACTGCTGCTTCCAACTGTAAATGAGGTAAAGCACGAAATTTGTCATGCCTGGTTTCTGCTCTTTGAAGGGAAAGTACATCAGAGAGCACGTACACTACTTTGGGAGCACTCTCTACCTTGCTCTTGCAAAAGGGCCACAAGAGATTTTTTTTTCAATTTGAAAGTGTGTATCTACTTTAGAATCACAACATGAATATTGGCAACAAAAAAAGTGTTCACTTTTAGTTCATATAAACTTAGATTTTGACCTTTCGGAATTTGGACAGTGTTTGTTTAGTATCATGATGTAAACTTTTTCAGGCAGATATAATTTCTTCATATTGATATTGAGGTTGAACAATAGGTTGAGGAAATTATATTCTCAGAATTTGGAGTGTGAAAAATACTCCTAAATAGAGATTTAACCGAGGGGGTGAATGGAATTTACGCTCCTACAAGAGCATATAACATTTTGGCTACGCTATAATCTGAATTCTAGCAGAAAGATCAGTACTTTACCTTCTCTTGGATGAACTTGGCCCAAAATCGAGCTTGGGCCCTCTCATAGGGATCTTTTGGCAATAAAGGATTTTCTGGCCATGTTTCGATTCAAGTATGGAAAGCATGGGTTTATTTCCAATGTCTATTATGTGCCAAGCATGAAAAATAATATTGCCAGAGTTGGCATGTCAAAAAATAGGACATTTTCTTTAGATATCAAACCTGATTTTTTACAATGCTTAAATGTATCTTTAAAAGAAAAGCCATGGTTATGGCACTTGAGGTTTGGACACCTCAAGTTTAATAGCTTGAAGTTGTTGTATAATCTAAATATGGGGAAAGGGCTACCACTAATTGATCATCCAGAACAACTTTGTGAAGGATGTATGCTCGGGAAGCATCATTGTGAAAGCTTCC